CCCCCCCCCCCCCACCCCCCCACCAACATTTCTTAGAATATGAATGTCGCAATAGAGTTTATGCTCTATCTCTTGTTATTTGGTGGCAAAGATTCAGGTGTAGACTTTGGTATCTGTTCTATTAGGCATTGATGAGAGTAACTATTTGATAGTCGAGTCTGCTGGAATACTAGTGGAATTAATACTTTCCAGATAGATGCGAGAAAATGTTTGATAGAAGTCTTTTTAATAGTATGGTTTAGAAAATCAATAATTCTTGTGAAGTGAGGGGCTCATAAGTCATTTTTCTTGGAGAGGAATATGGGCTGTTAAAAAAGGCTTCAATTTTGTTAAGAACTAGACATAATGAATATGAGAAACTGAAGAGCGAGCTAAAAAGAAGTTGCTAGGCTGTGTTCTACCTTTCAGGGTTGGCATCATTAAATACACACTATTTGCAGGATGCTCAAGGACCATTATTATATGAAATACATTTATTGTAGTTCTTCCATCTTTATATTTTCTCTGCCAGCTTAATCATTCATTTTTTTCCCTTCTCTTGAAAAGAATAAATATAAAAAGAAAGTAAAAAGGGGCCAGGGTTCGTTGGAATTATAAATGTAATTATCCATTTGTTTCTATTGTTCTGTACAATTAAAATACTATTTTCATTCTTGGACATTTTTTTTTTTTTTGCTTTTTGGACAAGAGCTCTTATACACAGATATGCAACTGAATTTTGCTAATCATTACTGATTTTTAACTGGTGTCTATTAGTAGTTTATTTTCAAATAGATAAGATAAATAGAACTTTTTGTGAACCTCTGCACTTCCATATTTTCAATTGAATTTGAGGGAATGGAATCTTTCATGTGATACCTAATGGTTCACATAGAAGAAAAACACACAGTGGGGAGGCTTAAATAGTTTCCCGAGTCACGTTTTATGTATTGCATAATGTGTGTGCATTCCTGGTGTTCCAAGTGTTTTGCATGTAACACAAATGTGGACACACATTTTGGTCTTTATATTTCTAATAGGATTGCACTCATATAGTTTCTGTTTCCCTATTTAAGCCCTTGTTTGAGCCCCATTTTTCAAAAATGGGTTTTGTAATAGGTTTTTTTTTTTTTTTAGAGAATGTGTGGTTAAAAAGTAAGGAAAAATTTTGGGTTTAAGTGCAAATTATTTAGTTTTTAGAATGCGTGGTTGAAAATGAGTTTGAGAAAAAAAATGAGTTTTTGGATAATGGGGCTCAAACAGGGGCTAAATATTTGATATCAATTTCCACAGGTAACAGTGCTGATAGGGGAGACCGGCTCAGGAAAGAGCACACAATTAGTTCAGTTTCTTGCCGATTCAGGAATATTTGGTCATGAGTCTATTGTTTGCACTCAGCCACGTAAACTTGCAGCCATCTCGTTGGCAGAAAGGGTTAAAGAGGAAAGTTGTGGTTGTTCCAAAGACACTTCAGTTATTTTTTGTTCATCATGTTTGTCATCTCAGGAGTTCGGTTGTAAGGTTATATTCATGACTGACCACTGCCTACTGCAGCACTACATGAGCGATACGCAATTATCCCGGATCTCATGCATTATTGTTGACGAGGCTCATGAGAGAAGCTTGAACACAGATCTCCTTCTGTCGATGACTAAGAATCTACTCAGTCAGAGGCCTGATTTGAGGCTTATAATTATGTCTGCAACAGCTGATGCAGACCAGTTGGCCGACTACTTTTTTGGTTGTGGAACCTTTCATGTGGCGGGCAGAAATTATCCCGTTGATATTAAATATGTCCCATGCAATGAAGGTTCTTTTAGTTCTCGATTGATTGCTTCATATGTTCTTGATGTTGTGAGGATGGTGACTGAGATCCACAAAACGGAGAAGGATGGAACAATACTTGCCTTCTTGACCTCTCAGATGGAAGTAGAATGGGCTTGTGAGAAGTTCCAATCTCCATCTGCCAATGTGTTACCTTTGCATGGAAAACTTTCTTACGAGGACCAACACCGAGTTTTTCTGAACTACCCAGGAAAAAGAAAAGTTATATTCACCACTAATGTTGCTGAGACATCATTGACAATTCCAGGGGTCAAATATGTGGTTGATTCTGGAATGGTGAAGGAAAGCAGATTTGATCCTGCCACTGGCATGAACGTTCTAAGGGTTTGCAGAATCAGCCAGAGCTCTGCAAATCAACGGGCCGGTCGTGCTGGGAGAACTGAGCCTGGAACATGTTATAGACTCTACACAGAAGATGATTATTCTTTGATGCTGCCTCATCAGGAACCAGAAATTTGTATGGTTCATCTTGGTGTTGCAGTTCTGAGGATTCTTGCTTTAGGCATCAAGAATGTGGAGGATTTTGATTTTGTTGATGCACCCAGTGTCAGAGCGATAGACATGGCCATCAGAAATCTCATTCAATTAGGAGCTGTCGTAGGGACAGATGATGTTCTTGAATTGACCAAAGAAGGTTTGGATTTAGTTAAGTTGGGTATTGAACCTCGTCTTGGTAAAATAATCCTTAAATGCTTCCATGAGCGCCTAGGTATTGAGGGCCTTGTTCTTGCTGCAGTTATGGCAAATTCTAGTAGCATATTTTGCAGAATTGGTACAGAGGAAGATAAGTTGAAATCTGATCGCCTTAAGGTGCAATTTTGCCACCAAAATGGGGATCTCTTCACTTTGCTGTCTGTTTATAAAGAGTGGGCGGCTGTGCCTTGGGAAAGGAAAAATATCTGGTGCTGGGAAAATAGCATTAATGCGAAGTCGATGAAGAGATGCCATGACACTGTGCAAGAACTGGAAGCTTGCCTTAAGCATGAATGCAATATTATTGTGCCAAGTTACTGGCGTTGGAATCCTCAGATGCATGAGCATGATGAAACTTTGAAAAATGTAATTCTCTCTTCCCTTGCAGAAAATGCGGCAATGTACTCTGGGTATGATCAACTTGGATATGAAGTGGCATCGACTGGGAAGCATGTTCAACTGCATCCTTCATGTTCTATACTAAACTTTAATCAGAGGCCACGATGGGTGGTTTTTGGCGAGGTTCTCTCTGTATCTAATGAGTATCTGGTCTGTGTTACTGCAATTGACCATAAATCTTTGTCTACTCTTTCTCCACCTCCAGTTTTTGATTTCTTGAAGATGGAAAGCCAGCAGTTGCAGAAGAGGGTTTTGCCCGGACTCGGAAGTTTAGTGCTAAAA